GGGGGGTAATTATAATAATAAGGATGATAATAATAATACATTATAAGAAAGGATATCTATACTAATAAGAAATAATATATATACGGAAATAATAACAAAGGATAAAAATATGTAAATATTGGGGCGCAGAATGTTACAGTAGTAACATACTCCTCTCCTAAAAATTCAAGCTCCTGCGAGAAACTTCAGATAGATACTAGAGTTGCTTTCAACTTCGAATCGCTTAATAATCCCAGTCTAAAAAAAAATTAAATAGCATCATAACAGAATATCGGCATTGTTACCAAAATGGAATTGGAATTCAAGATGGAGCTAATTAACACTCGTTGCTAATCCTTATTCATCTATCACCAAAAAAGAGTTAACAATACTCAAATATCAGAGAGTACTCAGTAAAACTCTCCTAGCTCTGATATTCGAAGGATACGTGATTGAATCTTCTCAGCTTCGGCAAGTGTCATCAATCTTGGGTTGTGATCAAGCAACAGGATTTCATAGAGACAAATTCTTGTTCTGACTCTTTAATATTGAGATGAGTCAGTCTCTGCTTCAGAAGACATAGATTCATCAAAAGTAGATGTGACAGTGTCCTCTTCTAAGTCTTCTAACTTTTTGTCATTAGAGTCACAAATGTCAGAGCTATCGTCAGACAAAAGGTCTTGGTCTTCGGAAGAGGTGCTAGATTGTTCAGATGAATCTGAGCTTGAATTTTGATTAACTTTCAAAATATATACAGAGTGGCATTTGGCGGCATAATGTTCTTGTTGGCGGCAGTTGTAGCAAATGTGATGTTTTTGCTTCTGGAGTTGGATGACAGAATATGAAAATCCAGTTTCTTCTCTTGGCGTTCCATTAATATTGTAAGGGTCGTAATAGTATTGGTTTGTGGGCATTTGAGAGGCAGAATATCCATTGTTATACAAAGGTGCAGGGAGGTAGTAATTTAAGGTCGAAGTTGGTTGTGATGATTGATGTTGGATTTGGAGAAGTTGTAAGTATTCTGTAAATAGTGAGACCAAGTGGATAAGCTTATAGATCGTATCATCATCCATATGATTAGAATATTTTTCCAAAATTATTAATGCGATCCTGAAAACTGACAGGCAGATGATTCCACACAATTGGCACCAAATGTTACTATCGAAAATTGGAAGAGCATCAGCAAGGGCTGAGTTTAGACTAGAATAGTGAACGAAAGGAATATTGGATAGGGTATGGTGATGATATAGGACGTGAGAGGTACAACGATAGGTGAGCAATTGTAATAATTATAGGATATAATAAAGAAATAAATAAATAAATAAATAAGATAGTTAAGCCATCTTAACGATAGGAATATTGCGATATATGATAACAAGACTTGTGAAGATGTATTCACAATGATTCAACAATTCAATAACAGACAAATACGAAATATGATATAAATATGATTCACTTAAAAACCTTTATTTATAAAGGAGGAATACTTTAGATCTACCTCTAAGTCCAACCTACAAGCAAAATCTACCGATAAGCAAAACGTATATGAGGTGTTTATATACATTAAGAATGCTCTGCAGTTAAGACAAAAGACATGAATGAATTTCCTTTAATGTGGGGGAGGAAATCTATCTAAGATGCAATATCATTGAAGTCATTAATGAAGCTTGCGCAGTTTCAATGATTAATGATACAATCAAAGTCTTGACTAGCTAAACAATCCTTAACGCCTTTCCCTACCAATTATTATATACCATAAATGGAAGCAACAGAAATTAGACTATCGAATGCTAAAATAGGATTAGCATGAATTTGTCAATCATCGGCTAAAGGACCACCTGATATACAACAGTAAAATAAAGACTATGATAATCAATTATATGGGGGTAATTATAATAATAAGGATGATAATAATAATACATTATAAGAAAGGATATCTATATTAATAAGAAATAATACATATACAGAAGTAATAACAAAGGATAAAAATATGTAAATATTGGGATGCAGAATGTTACAGTGGTAACATCGGTTTAATGAGGTCCGTATAACGAGGGCAGAGTGTACATACACATCATCCAAGTGCTGCTGCCCAACCTGTGAAATAAATTCAGAAAATATTCAATTTGTTACGTGTTATAGACATGAATCAGAAAAAATAAACAAGGTAATAAAGCATTTTATAAGAACAATGCCTTGAAATATTTGGGCTGCCATCAATAGAAATCAAGCAGATCTAAATTTGAAGAAAAAATTAACACCTTAAATTTCACAGCTCATATCTTGATGAATTTTAAAGGTATCATGATAATTTAATATTCAAAAGAAAGCTATGATCTAAGCTTTTTTTGAATATTAAATCATCAAGATACCTTTAAAATTCATCAAGATATGAGCTGTGAAATTTAAGATATTAATTTTTTTTCAAATGTAGATCTGCTTGATTCTATTAACAGCAGCCCATTTGTATCTTCAAAATTAGAGCTGTTTAACTATTTCACCATATAATTTAGCTATAATCCTGGTTCATGATCGATATAATTTTTTCAGTATTACAAAAAAACTTTATACAGCTAAGTGGTTCCAATCCCTATTCAAAATAATAAATCCTGAATGATTTTTACCTTCTTTTTTTCCTTTATTATCAACTGGAGAGCATTATCGCAGAAGTTGTCTAAAGATAAGCTATAATATAAAATCTTAAGACATGATAATAGTATCTAATCCTAATATTATGAATTATTAAATTTAATAATAATATATTAATACTATACTCAATATGTATGTATTAAACTCCAATTAAATCTACAAGATAAACAAATCCTGGTGCTTGGTTCATAAACTGCATACTGAGGTATAATAATTAAAAAGCAATACATGAATTTAATTGTTAAATGTTGTGTTTGGGTTTCATAGCTTATTGGTTAAGCTCTCAAACTTCACAGACAAGGTTGACAGTTCAAGTCAGACTAGGGAAAATTAATATTTTTTCTGTAACTTTTGGGAGCCAAATTGAATATGAAGCTCTGTGGTAAGTCAAATGCAGTATGTGACTAGAATTAGAATTTCTGGAAGAAGACCTAGACATAGAGTAGGAGTACTATGTATAATTGCAGTATTATTGTAGACTTTAGTTATGGTAATAGCTAGCACAAGTAAGTTCTTAGAGATTGGACAGCATCAATATTCTTGTATCTCTGGTTTAGACAATACTAATATTTTTATATCTAACTTGTAGGTACTTGCTTAGAAAGGTAGTCAATGAACTATACAAATAAGTCTTTATTTAAATTGAAAATATGGGTACTTGTTTGGAAAAGTAGTTATTAATAACCAAAGTTGGGGTAGTCATAAAAGTGGTGAACATATATATGGTCTGTAGTAAAGGGTTAGCTTTACTAGAAATAGAAGCACCTTTGGTACAGCTGTCTAGAGTTACTTTAAAAGATTAGAATGTAGAGATAGACTATGTATAAAGGTACTAAATCAGACAATAATCACACTTATATAGAAGTTTATAGATAAAAAGGATCTAGAAATATACTAACAATAATGTATATACCAATCTAGAAAAATAGCTATATGCTAAAAATTAAAATAGTATAGTATTACTAGAGTTAGAGTAACTTTTTAAATACAACCTGAATTGTCCTGTGCTATGATGTGTCTTGTCTGAAAGCTTGTATTATATGGTAGTATGGTATCAATAAAGTTAGTAGAATTCACTGAGTATAACCAGAATTATTCTGAGTATAGATGATAGAAGTTCTATTTTCTTACTATAGTAGGAAGTATAAACTAAAAATATAGTAGCACTAAGTTGCTATATAATAAAAATTAAAAAACATGAAGCATCTACTTAAGAAAAATAGTAGCAGCAGAGGTTGGATTAAGATACAAGTTAGTAATATCTAGGCAGACAAATAGAAGAGATTACTTGATAATATAATATTAACTCTGTTATATACAAATCTAACTAGTTAGCAGTATTTGGCCTAAAATATAAATCTTCTGTAATTCTTAAACATATATCAAAATATCTTAAAAAACTATTAATAAATACACTAAACTAGGAGGTCATAAGAATCTATAATTCAAAAGTTACTAATTTAGAAGTTGTATAGTAACAAAAAAATAAAAATGCAATAGACACAAATGTAGCTAGATATAATATAATAGAAGTCTAAATTTAGATAGTAGATAAATAGAGTATATATAAGCTAGTATACTTTACAGAAACTTCAAATTTTACTAAATATGTTTAAAATATTATTATTATATTATTATTATATTATAATTATATAATAAAAATATTATATAGTTTAAATCTATAAAAATATTATAAAAATATTATAAATATATTATAAATATATTGTAAAAATATAATAATAATATTTTTTAAACCTGTTAAGTTAATTTTAACTTTATGATTATTATATATTTAAAATATAGTTAAAATATATTTAAAATATATTTAAAATATAATAAAAATATTTTAATTATATAATAAATATATTTTTTTAATACAAATAAATAAATAGCAATATTTTATTAAATAAATATTATTATTGATTTATTTTTTTATGATATATAATAATTTTAATTATACTATTTATTAATAAAATAAATTATTATATTATATATATAAAATTTAAAATAATTATAGTTTTTTAAAAAATTGCTTCTAGCAAAAAATTTTACTAATTATATTCTAATTAAAAAGATTCTTTATCAAATTTTATATATAAGTTATCTATTTTTAATTTTAATTATAGCTTTAATATTGATATATTTATCCTTAATTTTAAAATTTTAAATTTTAAAACTTTTTATCATATGATAACAATATAATTATCAGCTAGTTAAAATTAAGTTAACAGGATAAAAATATAAAAAAAATATTAAAAAAATATTTTAATTATATTTTTATTATATATTAATTATATTGTAAATATATTTTGCAAATTTAAAATTTTCTGTAAAGTAAGAGCTTTATTTAGAAATCTTCTAGATTTGCTAACTAATTTCTAGCATTATCTAAAATAGTAGTAAGAAGCTGATCATAAAGTCAGCCAAGTATAGATAAATCATATTTAAGTATCTATATAGGTAGTTGAGTAAGCAGATTTTGTATTAGTATATATATAATTCTATAATAGATTATATATAGTAATATATATACATAAATTTGTTAACTAATATATAATAAAGTTATTGGAAAATTACTATAGAAGCTTCCACTTGTTATATAAAATAACATCTCCTTGGAAATGTTAATTGATTTTTCCAAGATCTCAAAAGTTAGTTATTTGACAATTAGGAAAATTTAGATATTCAGAACCTTCTAAAATCTTCTGCAGAATTATAACAGCCCTATATGACATAGTAATCAATAGTTTTAATAGTTATTTTCTTACAAAATAACATTATAATAGCTCTATATAATACAGTAATTAATGGTTATAATAACAGTCTCATATAGTGCAATAATTAACAGCAGTTATTTTCCTTATAAAATGATGTTATAATAGCCCTATATGGCACAGTAATTAATAGTTTTAACAGTTATTTCTTTACAAAATGATATCATAATGACTTTAAATAGTGTAGTAATTAATGGTTATTATTTTTGCAAGATTTTATTCTTATAAGATTATATTATAATGGTTCTGTATAGTATAGTAATTAACAGTTATTATTTTTGCAAGATTTTATCTTTATAAGATTATGTTATAAAGTTCTATATGGTGCAATAATTAACAATTATTATTTTTACAAGATTATGATATAACAGCCCATAATTAATATTTTATCAGTTATTTTTCTTAATATTAACATTAAGATTATATTATAACTGTTTTATGTGATACAGTAATTAACAGTTATTTTGCCATAGAGGTTCTGTGTAATAGTA